ATTATAAAAAAACTCAATTTTGAGAAAGAACATAAAAAAAAAATGAAATATCATTAAGAGTTCTCTATCATGTGGAAAAATCACATACCAAATATTGGTATACTGTTGAGTGCCAAAATTAGGTTAACCAAACACTTAGTTCAACAGAATTTGCGATCATTTCGTAAGTTTCGTTGGGATAAACTGAAATAAGCGTTTTTATTTGAGTTTTTTGTCAAAATTTCTGGTGGAAAAAACTGTAGAGACGGCAAAGACAAAATTTTGGCCAAGTTCCACAGTGGAGTAGTTATGTCATGCTCGATGACTTTACTTACTACTGTTCCACAAGACAGTTTAACAGAAACCTGTCTTCTTCTTATCAGAATTGTATTCTTCCAATACACTTGCCCATTCAATGAACAAAATGACTAGTTGTGCATAAAGTAAAATAAAAAGGCAAATGCATTTGTTACCACCGTATAAATTTCTCCACACATTATGCCTTATATCCCATGTGGTGGGCTCTTTTATTTTTCATTGTCATGTAAAGGTTTCTAGAACAAAATATAAAGTAACAGTCATTTCAGAAAACACATTTCAAGATAATGCTTACAATTATTAAATTTTGCAAGTGGCCAAAACATTTCTAAAATCAGTTGTTTTGCAATGAGTGTGATTTCACTGATACAACTCATTTAACATCACATGCTTTTCATTTGAAACAAAAAAAATACATTTGATAGATGTAACGAAAGTGCAATGAAAACTACAACCAATAAAAAAACAAATTCACGAAAAAGTTGTCGCATACAAATACTAGGGAATAATAATCTAGTGTAAGTGGCCAGCTCCAAAAGTACCAGGCCAGGAAGAAAGGTAGAGAATCAAAGAACATAGAATTTACAGAGAGGAAATATATCATGCAAAAAGAAGAGACTGGACTCAAACGCCAAATATTGAAAAACGCAAACGCTGACCGTTGTTCTATGTGAGTTTTCGCCAGAGAGATCCTTTGGAAGCAGCTAAACACTTGACTCTCGGGAATACAAAGCCTGTCTTCGGAGGATTGCCATCTACTAAAGTGTTCTCATATATTTCTTTGCACTCTTGTACCACCTGTTTTAATCACCATAACCATTTCGCAATTAAAGAACTATTCGTTTTCAATCAAACTCGTTATTTTCATACTTACTCAAACGCTGTACATAAATCAATGTAATCCACTACCAAACCAACCCCACATTGACCTAAGCAAAATCTGTTCCTAAAAAATGGTTTGGTGTTTACCTCTTTCGTGTCCTTCCGCGGTATGCCTTCACGCAGTCCAACAAGCTTCTCCACAACCTCGGCCTGTGATTTGTATATCAGAGATTATGTGTGTTAAGAACAAATGATCTTTGTAAAATCAAGAGTAGGCTTTGTTTATTTGATATTATTTACCGGGCAATCAGGCTGGTGCTCAAGAATGTTCGAGTACACGAGTGTAAATGCATCTAGACTTTCTGCGGATGCAAGTTCTCTCAGATCGCTCATTATTCTGATTCTGCTCTCCACTTTCTGTAATACAATCCCAGTTAATATAGTAAGCGGTACTTTTATGAAATATGAAATTATTCAGGGTATAGTGAGTTAAGTGCTAAAACCAACTTACAGATGCACTTATATACTCCCTAAAGAAGTCCATGAGAACCTCCTCGTCTAACCTCATCCGTTCAATAGTTTCTTCCTTGATGTAGTTTTTCTGGAATTACACGCGTCAACCCCAAGGTTCAGTGAGTATGTATTATAATGATGAAATATGAAATGTATATACAGGAGAATAAATGGGTAAACCTGTGTTAGGAGATGATCAACATAAACAACTACTGTTTCTTCCAGACAAGCTTCAACAAATCTTCTAAATGATCTTTCTTCGACATACCTGCATCACCAGTCACCACCAAGACCTCAATAGAGTTGTGGTGATTCAAGTTCGGTTACTCAAAAGGGCAAAACTTACATTTTCACATCTGTGAAATAATCACCAAAAGTTGCCACGAGGTACTCGGTAACCTGTCCCTCGCACCATTCTATAAAGTAAACAGCAAGGTTAAGAACAAAACCATAGGAGGAGGAAACCAAGAACGTGTATCAAGTATACATGTCAAAATCAATAGAAACCAGTAGCAAAAGTAACAATGAGATGGCTGCCTTCTATTCACACATTAACAAAGCTAGAAAGATTAGTCCTGCAGTAGGGTGGATACCTTTCTGGTAAAGCTTGACAAGTAATTCCTGAACTCCTGGATCCTCAAAGATAACACGAACTGTTTGATGCACTGCTTCCTACGATCAAAAGACCAGATGGGACTTGTGTGAAATAGAAAATAAATGTTTTAACTTTAAAGATTTCAAGATCAAGTTAATTTTTTTTTTTATCTCAAAAGCCATCTGGGAAACTACAAGGCCAGACAATCAGAGGCAAGAACTACATTCCGACTGAAGACAGGGGAGAAAGAGGAATCTTTGACATACCTTAGCCACCTCTAAGAAACCTTTGCAAGTGTCTTCAAAATTAACCTGACCGAAAAACAACAGTAGAAAAGCATTTCTTAGCATGCATACAAGGGTGAGGCGGATTTAGATGTGAAGTATAGAGGGACTGAGAGTGGGCATGATGATGTAGTGGAATTTGACACTTCCGATCAAAAGAATAAATTGCAAGGAAATTGAGATCAGAAATTGGCAGGTGGATTACCTGCTCCGCATAGTTCTGTGGAAGAGCTTCTAAAGTGCTATTACTCAACTCCATGGCAAGGTCATAGCAGCGAAGGTTGTTGTTTATCTGTAGGAAGTGTTAGCAGGTATAAATATTCGTCGAAAAATGGAAGAATGGTGATAGTGCCATTAAATGAGTCATCAGATTTGACATACCATAGCGCAGAGAGGTTCCAGACCAATATCAGAAGCTGGCTCTTCAACTCTCTTCTTTTCAGCTGCTTGGAAATCAATCATAACCTGAAGGAATCAAC